AAATATGATTTTTACATGTAAAACTGTTATTAATTTATTATAATTAGAATTTATTTACATTTTTATCATTTTTATCTAATTCTTTTCGTTTTGCTTCATTCTTGTTGGTTCTGTCTGACTTCGACCCAGTGTGGTGGTTCTGAGTTGTTGCAGCCCTAAAGCTGACCGTTGTGTGTCTCTGACATCATTGTGAGTGAACTGTGGGACTTTGTGAAACAAACGTCCAACACAGGTGTACACAGGTACAGGTGTGCAGATGAACAGGTGTACCTTGGCCTCAGAGGCAGCGAGCTCTCTTTCTTCTCGCTCCAGCTTCATCACAGCTTCAACATCTTTCTCTAGTTTGGAGATCAGATCTCTGAACTTCAGGATGACCTCTGTGCAGGACACACACAGCTGTGTCACAACCCAGCTGGACAACAGGTGCAGTTTGTGTCACTTGTGTGACATCAGGTGTGCGTACCTGGTGGTAAGACTCGAGCCTTCACGCTGCTCTTTGCTGACTTCACCACCTCCTTCAGCATCTTCCTCTCAGACTCTCCAACCAAGGACACGGAGCGTCCTGAGCAGCCGGCTCGGGCTGTGCGACCCACACGGTGGACGTAGTGTTTGATGGTTGAAGGCATGGTGAAGTTGATCACCTGCAACACAACTTCAGCTGATTTTAAGTGCTTCTCAGAGAAACACAGTCAGTATCTGGTGCAGCCTGAAACAAGACTACATCAGAGTCCTTCCTGGTCCTGTTGGAGGGATCAGTCAGGTAATGGTACCACTCAGGTCAATGTTCAAACATGTGTTTCCTGTGGGGTCCAATTAAAAACCATCAACTGTAACTGGGCTCTTCAACTGGCAGCTGAGGACTTGTGTGTTACAAGTGTAGACTTGTGGTACCACATCACCTGAACACAGAGCCACCAAGAGTAGACCCCATGAACCTCCCACAGACCCCCGTCAGCCTCAACCGTCCCAACAGGCTGAGACTGAACCATCCTGTCCTCTTCAACCGTTCCTGTAAAAAACTGTCTGTCCAGATTTATTTCCTGCACCAGTCCATCCTGACACTTCTGGTTTCTGAAAACCACAAGTAAAACTCCAGATTTACAGAGATTCACCAAAAGATCAACTTCCTGAAACCAACAGAGTGCTGGTTTCAGTCCTGATCCAAACGAATAAAACCAGTTTAAAATAACAAGAACTTAGTTTGGATCTTAGGAAGGTTTTAAACAGCTCTGAAATGCAAAAAGAAGAAAAGGTAGAAACAAAAAATCATCTGAACATTTTTTAACAAACAAGTTTTAAACTGAAACAGTTAAAACATCAGCTGATTTAAACTTTAAGACTTTATGTAGAAAAACTAGAAAATCTGCATTTTCCACAGCAAATGTGTGAATGTCTGAAGAACTTTAGCTGAAGAACAGCTAAGAAACAAAGTGATGATGTCACTAATGTGACTGATGATGTCACTGATGACATCATCATAACCAAAACTGTAAACGTTGAAATTCCTAAAAAAGTATAAAAAGTTAAGTTACCAAAAGTCATAGTCAGAACGTCCTGAAGGAGCTGAACGGTTTATTTTATGAACGGTTTATTTTATGAACGTTTTATTTTATGAACATTTTATTTTATGAACATTTTATTTTATGAACGGTTTATTTTATGAACGGTTTATTAGATGAACGGTTTATTTTATGAACGTTTTATTTTATGAACGTTTTATTTTATGAACGTTTTATTTTATGAACGTTTTATTTTATGAACGTTTTATTTTATGAACGKTTTAAGTAGCTTAAAAACTGTGGAGAAGTGGTCTAAAAACATACAGGAGAAACTGGAACAATAAAGAATAAAGAGAAACATGAAAAGAAAATTCACACAATAAATAAATAAACAAAACAACCTAAAATAGAAACAAATCTGAAAATAAAAAAACTAAAACAATAATAAAGACTCAGTAATGAGTGGTTGAACCATTCTTCTGAATCACCTCAGAAAACTGTTTGGGTTTGTTTGATGCTAGAGCAGGGCCGGTGCCCCCCCCCCACAAGGCCGGTGTGGGGGGGGGGCACTGAGCCCCGCCCCCTTCCTCAGCTGCCTTGCACCATGTGAGTGGTTTTTTTTAGCGTATGATCCTGTGTTTCTGTGTAAACACAGGATCAGAGCATTTTTTAAACTAATTTTTCTATAGTGTGTATTTTTATCTTTTTAAAGGTAGCACCACCCTACTGGTTGACCTGAACACCATGTTGTTGTAATGTGTGTGTCTTCTTGAATGGCTGTTCTTAAATGTAATTTCATTGTGCAAACGATGACAATAAAGGCTTTCTTCATCATCATCATCATCATCATCATCATCATCACTGTGAATTTGTCACATTTAATCCATGTAAGCTCATGTCAGGTCACCACTGTTAGCAAACAGTGTTAGCGCTGGGTTAGCTCTAATGGTTAGCTGCTCCTAGTGGTGTATAGATTGCTAGCTAGCTAGGCTACATATGAGGTGTAGTCCTGAACAAACTCTGACACAAGTTCTTATTTCTTGCTTGACTTTTATATACCATGGTCCAAACTAAAGCTGGGTCTGGGTTTTTAATGCTGTGGTCTTAAACGTTTCATCAGCTGATGAACAGCCTGTTTCAGTTTAAGACTCGTTTACAAAAAATGTTTAGGTTTAATTTTTGTCTCACTCCAGTTTCTTCTTTTTGCATTTCAAAGCTCCACTTCGACCCTTCTTAAGATCCAACAGTGCAAAATGTGAATTCTTGTCGTTTTTCAACTGGTCTTCATACTTTGATCAGGTCTCAGTTTTTCTCACCATCAACGCTGTTCATTACAGAGAAGTGGAAAAGCTGCAGAAATATCTGCCTTCAGTGGACAGGTCCTAAAAGTTCCAGTTATTTTACAACAACTCACCGTTTTCACTCCATTGATGTCCAGACCTCTGGCTGCCACATCTGTTGCCACTAAAATATCAATCTGTTCATCTTTGAAGCGCCTGCAGGACACAGAGAACAACAACAAACAGGAAAGAGGAAGTTGTGGAGAACACAAAGAGCTGAGTTATGACCCCTTCTCATCTACCTGAGGTTCTCCAGCCTCTGGTTTTGGCTCAGTTCTCCGTGCAGTTCTCCAACCTTCAGGCCCATCAGCCCCAGCAGGATGTGCAGTCTGTGTGCCTGTTTGCGTGTCTGAGTGAACAGCATCACATGATCCTGGAAGGTCCGAGTCAGCAGAGCTGGGAACAGACAGCAGTCACAAGAAACGTTAAATCAAGAAAATAATAATAAACATATAAAAAAACTTTGGATAAATTAAAAGACAATAAAAAACTGGAAGGATGTGTATGTTGATGATGTAAACAGAGCATATGATGCGTTTATTTATATTTTAGGAGTTCTGTATGAAAAGAACTGTGTGAAAAAAATTATACAAAGAGAAACTTTGTTGACACTATGATGACAAAAGGGTTGAGAAATGCTTGTAAAACAGAATTACTTGTGTCTTTAAATTGAGAACAAAAGAAGCAGAAGAGAGATAAAAGTATAAAAAGAAGATGGTATTAATTGTAATGAAACATAAGTACAATGATTTATTTAACAAAAGTAATGTTCATATGAAAGCAACATGGTGAGTAATGAACAGTGTTCTGAAAATCATAAAGTAAAATCAGACATTTCACAATATTTTGTAAAAGATGGCAGTGAAAACCATGATGAGAATGAAATTGTAAATAGATTTAATAATTATTTTGTGAATGTTGGCCCAAGTCTTGCAGCTAAAATACCAAAAGTAGATAAAATGTGAATCACACAGTTATGAGTTGTTCCAACAGTATTTTTTTATGGAACTGACAAAGAAGAAATAATGAAGATTATAAAAAATCTTTCAGACAAAAGATAAAAATACTAATAAGTCAGACTTGTTTCAGGTGAGAGTTGGACTCCACCAAGGTTGTCCTTTGTCACCGATTCTGTTCATAACTTTTCTGGACAGAATTTCTAGGAGCAGCCAAGGTGTTGAGGGGATCCTTTTTGGTAACCTTAGGATCACATCTCTGTTTTTGTGGATGATGTGGTCCTGTTGGCTTCATCAGATCCTGATCTCCAGCTCTCACTGGAGCCGTTCACAGATGGGATGAGGATCAGTGCCTCCAAATCCCAGACCATGGTCTTGAGCCAGAAAAGGGTAGGGTGTCTTCTCCGGGTCAGGGAGGAGGTCCTGCCCCAAGTGGAGGAGTTTAAGTATCTCAGGGTCTTGTTCATGAATGAGTGAAGAATGGAGCAGGAGATCAACAGGTGGATTGGTGCTGAGTCTGCAGTGATGTGGGTGTTGTACCGGTCTGTCGTGGTGAAGGTTTACCAGTGGGTCTACGTTCCTACCCTCATCTATGGTCAGGAGCTTTGGGTAGTGACTGAAAGAAGGAGATCACAGATCCAAGCAGCTGAAATGAGTTTCCTCTGCAGGGTGTCTGGGCTCTCCCTTAGAGATAGGCTGAGAAGCTCAGTCATCCAGGAGGGACTCAGAGTAGAGCCGCTGCTCCTCCACGTCCAGAGGAGCCAGTTGAGGTGGTTCATCTGGTTAGGATGCCTCCTGGACTCCTCCCTGGTGAGGTGTTCTGGACACGTCCCACTGGGAGGAGACACAGAGGAAGACCCAGGACACGCTGGAGGGACTATGTTTCTCAGCTGGGAACACCTTGGGATTCCCCCAGAGGAGCTGGTCCAAGTGTCTGGAGAGAGGGAGGTCTGGGTCTCTGCTGAGGCTGCTGCCCCCGAGACCTGACCCTGGATAAGAGGAGGAAAACGGACGGACGGACGGACGGATAAAAAAACTGAGTAGATATGATGTTTGTAAAGGATATAATGAATTATGTGATTGAACTGTTACAAATACATCTGTAATTTATCATTTTCAACTGGTACATATCCAGATAATATGAAGATAGCTAGGTTATTCATCTTTTTAAGAATGATGACAAACACGTGTTTAACATTTACAGACTCAAGTCCTTGTTACCACAGTTTTCAAAGATTTTAGAGAAATTATTTTTGATCAGATTAGACCAATTTATCAAAAAATAGAATATATTAAGTAACAGTCAATATGGGTTTACAGCAAATAACTACATCAGTGGCACTCATGGAACTGACAGAACAAATTAAAAATGCTGTTGATCAAAAACAGTACTGTGCTAGTATTTATGTTGATTTAAAGAAACCATTTGATACCAATGATCACAGTATTCTTCTTGAAAAGCTGAATCAATACAGTATTAGAGGTCCAGCACTACAGTGGGTATCTAGGTATCAGAAAAACAGGAAACAGTTTGTTCAAATAAATGATGAAAGATCTGAAATGGGTAATATCACATGTGGAGTGCCACAGGGTTCTGTACTCGGACCAAAGTTATTTATTTTATATGTGAATGACTTGGTTAATGTGTCAGAGTTGTTTAAATGTTTTTTATTTGCAGATAAGGTTTTCTGTTTGGGTAAAGATATAGAACGGATGTTGGAGATGATGTAGACAGAATTTGTTAAAAAAACAAGCTTGGTTAAAACTTAATAAATTAACGTAAAACTTGGATAAGACTAATTACATGATATTTAGTAACAGTAAGAGAACTGTCATTGCATTTAGAGTTGATGGTGTTGAGATCTGTAGAGTCAGTGAGGTTTCTGAGTGTCATCATTATGGAGGACCAAACCTATCATTATTGGAAATAAATGTATAAATATATAACTGGCGTATTAAAATAAATTATAGGCTCCATAGTATGGAGGACCAAACCTATCATTATTGGAAATAAATGTATAAATATAT